AAAGCGAAGTTATTATAAAGGATTTCAAAAGAGATATTCCTTCCCAAGCCACTTGTGACTTTTATGTATATTTCAACATTGCATTACAAAAGCTTGAGGTAAACTCAGTCACAATTAATATTTTCCCATGGCGTATTTCTCCTAACTACGCACTAACTATGCTACATCATGAGACCCGCTCTTTTCTTACTTGGGGCACTTAAGTGTTTGTGGTTAAATGATTCGAAGTACAAATACTTCTCTTGTTAAGTATCATTCCTTAATTGGAAAAAGGAAATAGCAGGAAACAAAAAGTAAATTATTATCACAAAGTGTTATTTTGTCTGGAGAAACATCCCCCCCCCCACATTGTCATTTTCATGTTCATGGAAAGCAATGTAAGACCTAAAAACAAAAATAATCATTTTATTTTTGAATGCATTGATTCTGTGGGGAAATGCATCATACTCTTGTAACTATAATTTTCTTTATCATAATATTAAAATCAATTTAACAGAGCCAATTAGTTAACCTTTTTTTATTTTCCATGTAGGTTTGGGTATAAGACAGTTAGACTCTGCCATCAACAACAAGGGTCGTGTGAAGAAATGAGAGTAGGGTGATGGGGCGCTCATCCTGGACACCCTCTTCAAGCTCATGTAAAATATGTGTGTTGATAAATACTTTATTTTGGTAGGAGGGTGTCGAAATTAAGGCTTCACCCTGGTTTCAGCTTTTATTTTGCTCCAAACCTTCGACAACATAACAATGCTATACCTTCATTATCGAGGAGCAGGTGATGAATCCCTGACCTAGAAATTTAAATGTGCTATTTATAATAAATTGGAACATGTATTTAATCCCGATTCATGGCTCAATTCCCACTCTCTTATAACACCTAATAAAATACATTTTTATAGAAAAAAACAATTATAAACATATGCACATCTGTTGATCACTGACGCGTGAAGCAATTAGCAAAACAGTAATAGAAAACAATTTGTTTAACGTACATATTTTAGTCAAAACACTTTAGAGTACATTCATTATATGCTGGTGGTAATAAAAAATAATACAAAAATAGGCATAGGCAGAGAAATATCCCACTATTGCAAGTCCAGAGAACTGTCCCATGGCTGCAAGTGTAAAGAAATATCACAGGGTTGCAAGTCCAGAGAAATATCCCAGGGTTGCAAGTGTAAAGAAATATCACAGGGTTGCAAGTCCAGAGAAATATCCCAGGGTTGCAAGTCCAGAGAAATATCCCAGGGTTGCAAGTCCAGAGAAATATACAAAGATGACAAATAAAAAATATTAAAGTTTGTAAGCCAAGATGGAAACTTTAAAATGAAATGTTTTATTATTTGATAAACGACAAAAGGATGCATCTCTGAATCTTATCAACAGGGCGTTGCTATTGCAAGCAGATACTAATTGTCAATATCATTTCCCGTCAGCGGACTCAGACTGTAACACCGAATATAATTAGTTTTTGTATTATCTTAGTCTGATGGGGTGTGAAATTGGCTGAGAGGTGTTTGAAGTTACATTGTGGATGTGATAAAATACTGAATCTAGCATAACTGGGCCACTGTTCACTTCCTTCACATCGAGCTAGTATGTTACTAGCACACATGCTCGTCTAACTTTTAAGTTCAATTAAAAAAAAGTTACTGTTTAACTTTACTAGTAGGCCCTACTTATTGGAAAACAATAATGGTAAGTTTCATACATATTCTTACGGTTAAGGGGGGTAGAATAGTTTGTTGCGACTTCAACATGCCTAAATTAAAATACATATAGATTACATAAGATAAAATAAAGCAATATACAGTTTTAAACTATTTATAATTGGTCTAACCAAAAGTTTTATATATTATTCCATTAAGTTAGGAATCATTTAAACTTAAAATTGCTTTGAGGTTCAAGACTTTTGTTAAACGTTGCCTGAGAACAGCCTCTTAGCGCTATTGGTATTAGTACGTCAACGGTTCATTTATTTATTTTAGTTACGACTTCTTTCGTTGATTAAGACGAACCATTCTCCCTAACCTGTCACCCACACTTAGCTCCAACCCGCACATGCACACAATAAAGAAACACGCTTGTCATCCCACAAACTCAATCACGTTTTCAGTCCATAATCCTGGTAATTGAGCTGCCATCAGGTCCCTGGCTTTAAAAATCATTGTTTTGTAAAGACATCTTTTCGAGCAAATATGACTAAAAATGAAAATAAAAATTGGAGTCGAACTCCATGCCTCCACATTATGAGCCGGGTGACCTAGCAACTAAACAAACAGCCCGAGATATTCTTGTTAAATTTCCGCTTCTGATTTAAAATTCTAAATGCTTACTATAATAATATAATATAATACTATAATAATTATTACTATAATAAAACATCAAATGGGCCCTTTTGGTACCACACGAAGCAAACAGAACAGTTGCCGCACAGCTCAAGAGACAATACGAAAGCTGATAGACCATTGTAGATCGCAGAATTCCCGTAATCGACCTACTCAACTGTGACACCATTGCAGATGGCGGAATTCCTGTAGAAGGATCGAGAAAATCAACTGTGACACCATTACAAATTATGAAATTCCCGTACAAGTAACTCTAATCCAGTCAAGATTAGATTACTGTAACAGTTGTTTGTGGCGTTTACCCCAAAACCAAATTCAGAGACTCCAGAGGGTACACAATACTGCAGCACGCATTGTATCGCGTATAAAGAAATCTGACCACATCAACCCCAGGTCTTAAAGATCTCCCTTGGCTTCCCGTGAGTGAGCGCATTGACTACACAATTCTGTCCCTGGCGTATAGCTGTATGGAAGATTCTGCCCCTGTAATCTTCAAAAACGGATTTTTAAGAAAATGTATCCATACAGAACCTGCGCTCTTCAACACATTCATTACTGAGAGTTCCCAGTGTGGATGGGCCTAGAAAGAAATCATACGGGGTGTGCTCTTTTGAAGGTATTGCACCTAAATTGTGGAACAGTTTGCCTCTATCTTTGAGGGATATTAAAAATGATAAAGAACCATTTAAAGACTTTAAAAATTTTTTAATAGATTTTTATTTAGGACATCAGAGTGCTGCAAGCATGCTAACATAGCATGGGTACAAACGCTATAAAAGCACTCAATCATCATCAGCATTATTGCAAATGGCGAAATTCTCATAGAATGATCGACCTACTCAACTGTGAAACCCTTGTAGATGGCGGAATTCACGTTTAAGCCTTGGTAATCACCCATAAACAGAATCAGGTCCAGCTACCCTTGAGACGTCGGTATAACGGCCATCGTCGATTCAACGGCAAACACACACACACACAGCTTGACACTTCTGTCCTACTAGCAAACTGTACTCTACATGAACCTTTAGCTCTCTTTAAAACACCATTGATACATTTTGAATTAACATGTGTTTAAAATGATTTTGTTATTGATTTTTAGAAACAGACTACGTGCACTGAGGACGGCATTAATATAGATATTAATTTTATAGGAAAACATAAAAAACGAGATTATTCAATTCCCGCTGTCTGAAATTATTATAGTAGAGTGCACTTTACTTAGGATCCCGTGGATATGTCTCTATGATCACTTGGTGAAACTTTGCTTCGGACGCATTCATGTGTTAACATGGAATGGTCTTGAGACTTGCAATTAAGGGCGATAAACACTTTATTAAGGGTGATGAACGCTTTCGTAACGGCGATAAATACTTTATTAAGGGTGATGAACACTTTATTGAGGGTGATGAATACTGACAATTCACTTCAAGCCCAGCCCCAACCACGTCAAGACCAAACAACGTTAGTTTTCCCTCACATTTTTTAACATATCTCTTTAAACAATTCCCCAAAAGGACATTTATAATTGAAAAGAATTCATAATATCAAATTTTTAAAAATTAGAAATTAAAATATGGGATTTTTAGGAAATTATGTAAAAACTAAGGTTCACTATTGAATAATTTTGGCTGGCTGACCCAACATTTAAGTGTGTGCAAGTTGTCATACTTTATGATAAACAAAATATAGCAACTGTAAAATCATTATTATTATTATTTTACAAAAATTGCATGAAATTTGAAAATATTCACTAAAGTTTGTTTTTTAAAAATTCCCTAAGTTTTGTTTTCCATTCCGTATTTTGATCTAAATGTCTAGGTCATTAGGTCATTAACAATATCTTTCTATGCATCTTAATTCTCACCAATTATTTGCAGCTTATTCCATATTCTTGCTGGTTCCCAGACTCTTTTTTGTCACTGTCTGCTCTGCCTTGCTGATCAGACTCCATGCTCCCATAGTTCTTAAGTTCAAGATGCCAATCCTGGTGATCCTCCTAAATTTCTCACAGGTGGTCGACAAGTCAGCTCCCTTTCGGGTTTGGCTGACCTGCTGCTTCAAGCGTTTAGAGTCTTTCTTTAAGGGTGACTTCAAAGTACTGCTTTGTGAATGATCCAGTAGCATTTGATTTCTTTACATACATTGGTGGCTAACTCGTTGCTAAAACTACGGATAGTCATCGTCTACAACATGCAAGCCGGCTGATTGTGAGTAAATTCTGATTTTAATCAGTTTTAGATCTCGTACCAACAGGGGTAACGTTTGAGATCTCGAACAACCAGGGGTGACGTTTGAGATATCGTACCAACACGGTTAACGTTTGAGATCTCGTATTGCAAGGTGCAACAAATGAGATCTCGTACCAACATGGGTAACGTTTGAGATAACGTACGAACATGATTTTTTGATACACGATACTTAAAATCAATTTATTCTGCTGTCCACACATCTTTCCAACGTTTTATTATCAATCATTAATTTCTGACTATAATAATCATTAAACTAATTTCCTCTTAACCTCCACCTAAGCTTTTGAAACTGATGATCGTGCAGGCGGGCTTGTCGCTACTGTGTAATGTAGCCTATACAAACGCTGCCGTGTACGACGCTGCCCAAGACTTCATGTTTTTCTGTAATTTTGGTGAGCACATTATGCAGATCGAGGCTGTCCAAGAAAATAACGCTGTAGACAGAACATGGAACTATCGATGTGGCGGCTCTGCGGCTACTTCCACATGCAACTGGAGCCGTGAGTTTTAAAAAAAGAAGAATTTCCTATACACTAGTTTAGGGATGAAGCGTTTTTTTTTAAAATGAACTTTACTATTATTAATATTTGTAATTAACTATCTAATTTAAAAGAGGTCATTTGCAATGTTTTCCGTCATTTGGATGTTACATTTAAAAAAAAATATATATCTCTGACTGTTTGGCTTGATCAGAGGATAGAAACACGTGTCTACACGTTTATGATAAAGTAGACAAATATAACTGATATATTTAATCTGAACCGTTATTGTTACTTTAAGCTTACGTAAACAACTGGCACGAGATGGTGGCCTTCATTTGTCCTGGGGACACTGTCATCACTGGCGTTGACAGTTATCATGACGAATTAGCAGAGGACAGACGATACAAGTTTAGATGTTGCGGCATTCCGCGTGAGTCTTTGTTAATATGTGTCCAAACTTTGCATGCGTTAGGCCAACAAGAATAGAACTGTCCAAACTTTGCACGAGTTAGGCCAATAAGAATAGAACTGTCCAAACTTTGCACGAGTTAGGCCAATAAGAATAGAACTGTCCAAACTTTGCACGAGTTAGGCCAATAAGAATAGAACTGTCCAAACTTTGCACGAGTTAGGCCAATAAGAAGAAAACTGTCCAAACTTTGCATGTGTTAGGCAAATAAGAATGCAACTGTCTAAACTTTGAGGTTTGAATGAGCCACACATAACATCGTTTGACATTCAGAAAGAAGGTTTGAGTGATGAAGGTTTGAGTGATGCAGGTTTGAATAATGAAGGTTTGAGTGATGAAGGTTTGAGTGATAAGGTTTGGGTGATGAAGGTTTGCGTGATGAAGGTTTGAATGATGAAGGTTTGGGTAATGAAGTTTTGAGTGATGAAGGTTTTGGTGATGAAGGTTTGAGTGATGAAGGTTTGAGTGATGAAGGTTTGAGTAATGAAGGTTTGAATGATGAAGGTTTGAGTGATGAAGGTTTGAGTGATAAGGTTTGGGTGATGAAGGTTTTCCTGATGCAGGTTTGGGTGATGAAGGTTTGGTTAATGAAGGTTTGAGTGATGAAGGTTTGAGTGATGAAGGTTTGAGTAATGAAGGTTTGAGTGATGAAGGTTTGAGTGATGAAGGTTTGAATGATGAAGGTTTGAGTGATGAAGGTTTGAGTGATGAAGGTTTTGGTGATGCAGGTTTGGCTGATGCAGGTTTGGGTAATGAAGTTTTGAGTGATGAAGGTTTTGGTGATGAAGGTTTGAGTGATGAAGGTTTGAGTGATGAAGGTTTGAGTGATGAAGGTTTGAGTAATGAAGGTTTGAATGATGAAGGTTTAAGTGATGAAGGTTTGAGTGATAAGGTTTGGGTGATGAAGGTTTGGCTGATGCAGGTTTGAGTGATGAAGGTTTGGTTAATGAAGGTTTGAGTGATGAAGGTTTGAGTGATGAAGGTTTGAGTAATGAAGGTTTGAGTGATAAGGTTTGGGTGATGAAGGTTTGGCTGATGCAGGTTTGGGTGATGAAGGTTTGGTTAATGAAGGTTTGAGTGATGAAGGTTTGAGTGATGAAGGTTTGAGTAATGAAGGTTTGAGTGATAAGGTTTGGGTGATGAAGGTTTGGCTGATGCAGGTTTGAGTGATGAAGGTTTGAGTGATAAGGTTTGGGTGATGAAGGTTTGGTTAATGAAGGTTTAAGTGATGAAGGTTTGAGTGATGAAGGTTTGAGTAATGAAGGTTTGAATGATGGAGGTTTGAGTGATGAAGGTTTGAGTGATAAAGGTTTGAGTGATGAAGGTTTGAGCTATGAAGGTTTTGCTGATGCAGGTTTGAGTGATGAAGGTTTGAGTGATGAAGGTTTGAGTAATGAAGGTTTGAATGGTGGAGGTTTGAGTGATGAAGGTTTGAGTGATGAAGGTTTGAGTGATAAGGTTTGGGTAATGAAGTTTTGAGTGATGAAGGTTTTGTTGGTGAAGGTTTGAGTGATGAAGGTTTTGGTGATGAAGGTTTTGGTGATGCAGGTTTGGGTGATGAAGGTTTGAGTGATGAAGGTTTGAGTGATGAAGGTTTGAGTGATGAAGGTTTGAGTGATGAAGATTTGAGCTATGAAGGTTTTGCTGATGCAGGTTTGAGTGATGAAGGTTTTGGTGATGAAGGTTTTGGTGATGCAGGTTTGGGTGATGAAGGTTTGAGTGATGAAGGTTTGAGTGATGAAGGTTTGAGTGATGAAGGTTTGAGTGATGAAGGTTTGAGCTATGAAGGTTTTGCTGATGCAGGTTTGAGTGATGAAGGTTTTGGTGATGCAGGTTTGGGTGATGAAGGTTTGAGTGATGAAGGTTTGAGTGATAAGGTTTGAATGATGAAGGTTTGAGTGATGAAGGTTTGAGTGATGAAGGTTTGAGTGATGAAGGTTTGAGTGATGAAGGTTTGAGTGATGAAGGTTTGAGTGATGAAGGTTTTGGTGATGCAGGTTTGGGTGATGAAGGTTTGAGTGATGAAGGTTCGGGTGATGAAGGTTTTGGTGATGCAGGTTTGGGTGATGAAGGTTTGAGTGATGAAGGTTTGAGTGATAAGGTTTGAGTGATGAAGGTTTGAGTGATGAAGGTTTGAGTGATGAAGGTTTGAGTGATGAAGGTTTGAGTGATGAAGGTTTTGGTGATGCAGGTTTGAGTTATGAAGGTTTGAGTGATGAAAGTTTGATTGATGAAGGTTTGAATGATGGAGGTTTGAATGATGAAGGTTTTGGTGATGCAGGTTTGAGTTATGAAGGTTTGAGTGATGAAGGTTTGAATGATGGAGGTTTGAGTGATGAAGGTTTGAATGATGAAGGTTTGAGTGATGAAGGTTGTAGTAATGAAGGTTTGAGTGATTAAGGTTAGAGTGATCATTCAATCTTTTGATTGAAATAAACATAAAAATATCACACCCAACTTTCGGAATAACAGATGACATTTAATTTAACAATTTATCAATACACATTTTGTTACAGGAGTAAGAACCAAGAATTGTTACATCACAGACTATGCTAATGACTGGGATGGGAGGTTGCTCTTGATTGTTCCACCGGGATCTGCCCTGAAAGGCGCGATTAGTTACCTCAACAATATTTCAGAGTAAGTATTTTTTCTAGAATTTTGATAATGTAGGGCAGTGGCTCTCCATTTTGTTGTAAAGTGGGAAAAAAATAATCAAAAAATAAAATATTATTTTTTCAGTATAAATTATATTTAACGTACACCGAGTGCAATGGACCGGGGGGGGGGGGGGGAGGGGGGGCGGGGGGGCGGGGGGAAAAAAAAAAATTTTTTGGACGAGTGGACAATAAAAATTCTTTCATAAATCTAGTGTAGCCACCTGAGGTGCTGAGTGAAATTTTAGATAATTAATCAGAGGAATTAGGTAATTAAAATTGGAATAATAATACATTAATTTTTGTCGAGCCTTATAGTTCAAATGGTGGGTCGTGGCTGCCCTTTCCGATGATTCCTAAATTGCTGCCTTCGATGGGTACTGCTCCTAGGCGAACGTTTGGTCACAGCTGCGATGTGACTTAATAACAAAGTAGAAACTATGTGTAGAAACCCTACTAGAGGGCGTCTGTCGCCATCCCGGGAGGGGAAGGGGTGTTTTGGAGACGTTAAAATTTATCCATCCCAGGCAATAGAAAGTTGGACTGCATGTGGTGTCAGAGCATCACCACTAGTCAATTATAATAAAAAACACGAATAATAAAGAAGTTATTTTTTATGTTTAGAGGGACTTGTTATTATGAATTGTTTTTGTATGACTTGTTTTTATGACTTGTTTTTTATGACTTGTTTTTTATGACTTGTTTTTCATTTATTTTTCTTGATATTTGTTACCCAGGGACAGAAGGTGGAAATATTACGTATGTGAAATTTAGCTCCACTACGCGGAATTTGACTTAAACTGATCTGATGAAAAGTGGAAATATTACATATGTGATGTTGAGCTGCACTACTTGAAAGCGGACATCTTGAACAAAGGAGAAAACAAATAATGTTTGAAAAATTAATATAGAAACAAGTGTTCCTAAAATTTATGCATCTCATAAGAACAATACTTAACCAATTAAAGAATTACCCATCCCTCTTTTAGTCGTGTTGTCCTTTTGTTAATCTGTGGGATTGTTGTTTTAACTATTTGAATGCTAGAGCTGTGTTTACTTTACATCTTCTCTCTCAGCAGATTGGGAAACAACAAACAAAGCAGCAGCAGCAGTTGTGGAAAAATAGTGACGATTTTAAAATGAACAACCCTTCGTCAACTGTTTGAAAATAATAATTAACACATTTTAATTCAGTGTATATATTATTATTTTAAATTTCACGTCTTGTGAAAGTTGTTAATATGAAAACCATCATATAGCGCTAGTCACTAAACAATATTTACATAAATAAATTAAATAGTAAAAACCTCTGTAAAAAAAAGAAAATATGTTTAAGTATATCAAAATAGAAATACATACAAAACTGTCAATAACTATCTATTTAGACAGGGGAGCAGTAGGCATTTTAATCATTCTATTTTTACTAAACATTGATTTAGGGATAAGTTGTGGAAATGGATGATGCAATATTTGCCTTATTGAGATACACCCTTTTGTCCATTTTGCAATATTTGCCTAACTAGTATTAAGGTACGCCTTTGTCTCCAATTATTCAGCATTTTCCTAACTACGCGAGCCCCTATCTTAAATATGCCGTATTTGCACCGATCTCCCAGTGTTGAGCCCTCCTCTCAGACTATTTCCAGCAAAACATTTACCGACCCATTCTGAGACAAGACAGCTAAAAAGTGAAATAAAAGTTGAAGGTAAACAAATTGAAAGATTATGAATATCGAGACGTTATCGGCCGTGATCAAGAGTCATAAATAGAATTATGTCATCAGTGCTAAGGGTTATGAACAACAAGAAATACATACTTACTGAGACACAATATGTATACTGTTCCAAATTAGTAAATGCACTTTACATAGGAGCCACTGAAATATTTTTCTACATCTACATTGGACGTAGAGAAATGAAATGAATTCATATCGCCTACTTGCTCTGGGGATAAGAATAAGATTGATTGTAAAAAAATCTCAGTTTTTCAAACGAAGAATGCATCTATTTTAAATGCATAGAAGGCGACGCTTTTTCAGAGTTGGTCAACATTGTACAAACTGTCATTAGCTCTGTCTGTCATTAGCTCTGTCTGTCTTAGCTCTATTCATCTATTCATGTCAGTTGATTAGTAGCTTAGTGTTAATTTTGACGTCAAATAAACGCCATTTTTTTATACGGTAGAGTGAGAGCGCTTGGTTGCGGATGTTATTGTTCGTCCGTCGAGGATCGACTAGGACCATCGAGTCGTCTGGTGACTGATGACTTGCGCGGGTGACTTTGTTTAAAGTGAAGAAGAG